TCGGAAATGAGTTCTCCCAGTGATTTGCTTCATGATGGCCTATCAAAGCAATGCTGTTACCCGTTGCTCTGTAACACCAAATTTCAGCTAATCAACCAGAGATCTAGAGGCCCTCAGTTCAAATCCCGCTACCGCCGCCCATCCGCACTTTTTTTGTACTTCCCTGACAGCCTTTGTGTGACCGCGGTCTCCCTCCTAAAAGTTGACAAGATTTGTATACTCAGTCATTAAAAAGGAAGTAAAACATTCATGTTATATTATATACGTCTTTCTTTCATTTATCCACTCAACAGGCAATTTCGTTGCACAGTATCACAGCTCCAGTTTGAGGCCGTGGCGTCGACATCCGCGACCAACGAAGCCTTCTTCTAAGCATCCGAATCTCATTTCAATTCACACCGCAAAACAATTAAAGAAGTTGTTAGATGCTCGAACCCATATCCAGTCGAGTGGAGAACACGATCGTGTGATACCCAAAGTGAATTCCAGTCTTGTGCTTCTCTACTACTCTCGCAGTTGTGGTTTTTCCACTCAAGGCGACAGTCTGTTGTGGCATTTCGAATCAGCGGCTCGAAATCTTGTTACGAATCCAGCTGTTGTATTTGCCAGGTATGTGAACACTGTCCGGTGAGAATATTCTTTTGTTCAACCTGCTCTGCATTCCTGCTGCCCCCCCCCCCACACACACACACATTATTTGGACAAGGCTCACTCGTGTCGTTATTTGAACAGCCTATCTCACGAACCATATTCTGTGCAGCTATTTGTTTCGAAACTCAAGCGAATCCATTCTCTGTGAGTTTGATAGCTACCGGCGAAATCCGCCCGGTTCTACAATGGTGATGAGCACCCACAGTAAACCATACTATAAACAGGGGAAATTTTTACATCTTGCGTGTATCAAGAGCTAAACTGATTCCACAGCATACTCGTTGATTCCGGGACAATGAGGTACTTACGTTTTAAAAAGACATGAATCGGAATTTCATTTTTATGGCTTGTCAGCTCTGTTGCACAAAAGCAGTCCTTCGCCGTACGCATCTCCTGTGCGTTGACAGACGGAAAGATGTTTGGGTATTCCGCACTACACATACTGCTCCGATATTCATCATCCGTAATGAACAAAAGTTGCACGTCTTGTGTACATGCCACCCCACTCCACTTAGATACCGTCATACGATTCAATGTAATCGCCCAGACAAAGCAGAGCTCCGATCGAGCGAAACGCATAGTTGTGTTATATGTCAAAACCACGTACCAATCAGCGTATACAAAATGGAATTAGATACTTTGACGCTAAACACACTGTTATTCTGAGCCATATGTTCAAATGCCTCTCATAACGTGGCATGCCTCATCAGTTCTCGGTGTGACATCGCCTTGGAACTTACTTGGAACTTAGCTAGTATCACTAAAAAAGTGCAACCGTTCCCATGTATGACTCAGCGTGTTTCTGTAGAACTTTTTGTTTGTTCAGTAAGGTCATCTCATCTATGTTGATGAAGAGTGCCACCATTGTGTGGTCAAGCCTTTGTATCGTTTGGATTCGGGTAATTGCAACACCTGAAAGGAAGTATTTACTTTGGTCTGTTTACTTCAGGTAGTGTGCAAACATCATTGTTCGACCTCCGGATAAATTAGGAAATGCTTCAATGAATCGTACAAATGGTAGATAAGGATCCGTTGGAAAAAAATGAACGTGGATTGCCAAACACATTTCCCTTTTTACAATACACCGCGTTTCTGAAATGAGTTTGTTTAGCCCCTGCTCTGTTGTTTTTTAGTTCAAAATATCCAGTTTGTTTATTTGTTCGTGATCGACTGGAACTTTACCTTGACTACCATTGATCCTGCTTGCCTTCGCACGCCGCGAGTTCTTTGTTCTACCCGTGGATAGATGAATCTCCCCGCTCTCCAGGGAGGTGGGAGGGATAATTGACCATGTTCAGCGTTCGCACATGGTTCTCTTGCGTAAGAGGTAGTATGCTCCAAATTGATGTTGTTCTGAACTTAGTGAATAAAACCCCATGGGCTTGAGCACCTAGGACCCAGTTATTAGGAACCGATAACCTAATCCACTTGACGCAGGGTGGTGAACCACATAAAGGCCAAGTAAGATGGGTGTGGTTTTAACAATAAGTCCCTCCATCATCGAAATGAGTTTATCTAGATCATCTCAGAGAGCTTGCTGATGGCACATTTGCATACTTGAAAGACAAAGCACAGTCTGTTGCGTTGGATAGGAGATTGTAATTGATAACCACATGATTTGTTATCTGGACCACAATCAAGTGAATCAGAATTAATTACTTGCGCATTGACCGTGCGGTTGGTTCCCAGCAAAATGCTGTAATTTGTTACAAACATCAAAGTGCAGCTTTTTTTGTCGGAACATTGACAATTAAAAGCACAAATCCGAGGGGTGTTTACATTGCGCCAAACGACTCATTTTAGTCGTGCATCACGTCAGGTTCACGAACATCTGCCCAACAAACACCTGTATCGAGTTGTTTTACTTGATTTTTCGCATCAGCTCTGTACCGATTCGACATATGAACAAACAATATTCTTGTATATGTCTGTCTTCACCGGGTGTATAGTCAACTGACCTTCTCACTTTCCAGATTCCTAAACAACCCAATACTCACCATTCCTCAACAGTACGGGGTCAATTAGAGTCGATGGTTGTGATCACTTAGGTTAACCGTTTCCTACCTCGTTGGTTATTATTTCTGACATACTTATTGATCTAGTTTCTCTCTTCACACTATCCTGATAGCATAGTGCACAAGATAAGCACAGTTCTAAATGATTTACCACAGACCTTGATTTCTCACATGCACGCTGCTGGGTGATGCACTTTATCCCGTGCTGGTCGATGCCATACACATCATTTCTGGGAAGAAACTATTTCTGCTTGCATGTAGTTCTCGTGAGATTATGTTTGATTACATTTCACCTTATTTCTGCCAGCAGCTACTAAGAACAACGTAACCGTTAATAGTGAGTAGGTTTCGTGAAGTCAAATCTGATAAGTCTTCTGTTTCACCCCACCCCATCCCCTCGAATCATCTTTGTTTCATTGCTGTTCTCGTGTGGTAGATCACTGTCATATTGGTTCTGCAGGTTCCTCTGTCCGCATGAAATCGCTTCAGAACTAATGCGATACCCCGGGGATTGAATGGTCATTCAACTTTCATTTACTTATACGTAGGAATCTGTTTTCAGATTTGTTTCGGATACAGCCATTCATTTTGTACCTGCACGCCGCGGTATCGACCTCTGTCTTCCGGCTGTCCATTTGCTCAAACATTGATGGTGATTCAAACGGAAGGCGCAGACAACTGAGAGCTGTACAAGTGTCAAGACACAGGACACTAGATTTACGATGGAATTGAGCAGATGCATAGGTATTTTTGTTTACGCCATCCAGTCGTATCACTGATCATGATGTGCCATCACGTGGAATAAATGTTTATCATTTACCGCCGTGACTCTGTAAACAATCGAACATCAGGATATTCTACTCAACCAGCAAAAACTCATTTCTCGCATCTCAATGATGCCCGTCTATATTAATCCTGAGGGATCCACTTCTCCCGAGTATATTACGGCTTTCTAATTGGCAGAAAGGCTTTGTTGGAAGTGTTCATTAGTCCCTCTCAGGTTTTGGAGATGTCTAACAACATCCTCTTTGGACAGCGTCCCGAACTCTACTGAGAAAACGATCGTTTTTACACTCAACGAATGCGATGAAACTTTCAGACTGCAGTTCTAATGGGCGCGGAAGATTTTTATTCCAGTGATCTGAACAATGATAAGCTTAGTTAACTCCTTTCACATTACTGGCTATCATGACGTTTCTACCTAGTTGGGTGTCTTATGTGATCTGACCGCACGACAGTGGCTAGTTGTTGTAGCATTCTACAACGTCACACAACCCATAAAACACGCGAAAAATTACATCAGTACACCTATAATCATGATACTGGCCACTTCATGTGCATACTTCAGATTGGTCTAAATACGTGAAATACGGTATCACTTGGACTCAAGTGACAGCACCCGGTTCCGCATTTCGTTCGGCAAACATAATATCACACTATGGAACGAGACTACCATTTCTGGTGTACCTTCCTACTGTTCCTGGTCATCTCTCGTTGTTGAATCGTTCTATCTGTCCCTGTGCCCTTTTCGTTTTGATTCGTTGTTTCATCTCCAACAGAAGCGGCAATGGTGTAGATAGAAAAATTACCTTCACCCTTGGTGTTTCACGATTTTGATGAGTCTCATGCATATGTCATCTGACTTCAGACAAGTCAAGCATACTTCTGATCGGCATAATTGTTTCACCTGTGGCATTCTACCGCTGGGGGAGCAACATTTCCCCATGAGCCATTGTACTGACTAACTGCACTGTTCTGCGGACAAATGAAAATTTTCAGATACACGGATTCTGATTGACACATTACTGAAAATCTGTGGTGGAATCAGACATGTCACAATCTCGCAATCGATCACTTTGGATGGCATCAGCTCTAGTCTTGGACTTCGGAAAGGCCTTCAGTCAACCAGATTGTTCAGTTGTTTATTTTACGTGATTTATAGCATTTTACTCAACTTTCAATGGCACGGATATGCTTGCTATCTGTACATCATTAAAATTAACCGGAAACCCGATCACAGAAGGACACGTGATGCCGCTATCCAGTTCAGCGGATCATACACCCTTTGGACGAGGTGAAACGTCCAAAGTGCTCAATGCACCTCGATGCCCAATTGAACCGGTGATCACTGCCACAATCAGGAGGGTGTGTGCATTTATGGTTCGTACGCCTCTCTTGGTTGGCTTGGAATCAGGGTTTTTAGCCAACTCCTCTAGCTGAACTGCTAAAGGATCACCAACCCGGATATCGGCTTTTCGTTCTCCCACTTTGAAAGAAAGCACCTCTACCACGAGAAGGCAATGAGTAGGGCTTCCTCAGCAGAAGCTATTCGTGAGTATTGGTCGTATGCGGGCATTTCGCGAGGTGCAAAGAAGGGTAACCAGCCGCAATCTGAGACACCCACCCCCGACCATACGGAAGTGATAGCTGAAAATAGGAGAACATGTAGTCTAATGCAATCCAAAGGTTTATTCTTTCTGTTAGGGTATTTTATTCTGGTCAAACTGTCTTCCAAATAACATATATTTTTCCATAAAATTCAAAGTGAACACACCATCAGGTGGGAAGTTTCTATCATAATGGGACAAGAAAAGCAACAGCTTTTAAGAATTTCCCATGGTAAAAATTTAACTGGCCGTGAACGAAGTGGCAGTGAAACTTCATTTGCAAAAGTCAACCTTGAGGTGTGTGGCTCCCTGGTTAATCATTTTGTAACTTCATCATACCCAAACTGAATGGAACCTCCAAGCGTTTTCTGTATACAAATGAAGAATAGAGGTGCCCTACTTCGGCGTCGGAGTCGCTGACTCCAGCAACTGCTTCCATGTAAACCGAGGCACATTTTATCTCATAATCCGGGTAATTTTCCTAGTTAAACAGTCATGCAGAGGAAGGAATTCGATCTGGTCGGAGAAAGACAGATTACGTCAGATTGAAGCTAAAAAAAGCTGCCTGTAGATGAAAAAAGTTCGCCACCATTTTCTTATACCACCGTGAGAGATGGCTGAATTCTGTTTGCAACCGAGGTCATCCGTTGTTAAACGCCAAACAAAGGAGGGCACGTGTTAATTTTACCGAGAAATTAAAATCGCACTGATCGTCATTTTGTCGTTCACTCTATTTCGTTGAAGAATTTCTGGTGATTGAGTAGCAAGAAACCAGTCAAAGAAGGTTCATCTGCGAACCAAGTTTTTCAAAGAAAACAATTTCACTGGTCATAATAAGTAAATAACTTTTCACTGATCAAACAGGTTTCGGACGACTGCCACTTTCCAGCGCATTCACCAGAAGTATATTTTCTTAGGATGGCTCTCCTAGTCGTGTTTCATGCGACGTACGCCATAGAAATCAATTTATTGTTTTCTCATATCTGGACTGGCTCTGGATGAGCAAGTTTCAAATTGTAATTCAGTTATCGTCCAGATCTTAGTGTCATTCAAAACTTTTTTGACAGAGATTGCTCATCTGTGTTTGGTCTAGTTCAACACCGCACCCATTCCGGCGTATGAGTTGGTTACTAAGAAGAACATGACTGTTAAATGTGACGGGGATGCACGAGAACGATCAACATCGCCATTTCTTTTGTGAATATATTTCAGTGTGCTTTTAGCGCGTCTCGATATTTTGGCGAATTAAATCCCGCTTTTCCACCCCAACCGTTGTTTTTTTTGTAGAGTCGATGTGTCTTCGGTTGAACTTCCTTGGGAACTTCGAGTCGCACGAATTCCCTCCGTGATAGTGTTTCCGGGACTGCAGTGAGTCACTTCATCTTGTTGCCAGTTTCTTAAAACATGAGCTCTAAAGTGGTGGTTTTTCAGGATTGGTGGTAGGAAGATAATGCCTTCCCTCTGTCAGTTGATGGTGATCCTAAACCATCTCACGGGTTGCGTGTGTTCGCGTACCAACTACGCGGTTAACTCACCCCGTAAAGTTTTATCTAGATCGAGAGTTTCAGAATTCAGACTCATCTCTGGAGTTGATTTTTAACTTGATGAATAACTTTGGTATTTGCTTCACCTGCGGTTGCTATAACTTCAACATTGGCAGGTGCCCATCAAAGAAATTTGAATCGTCGATTGTCCATACTCAGTCGCTCATGCGTAGCGTCATTTGGACTGATACTGGTTATTGATTATTGTATCGATCCACATCGTGGTCCCTGCAACTAGTTTCATCTGAATTCTGCATCATGTGATAAATAACCTAATTAGTCTGAGTTGTGTTTGACTGAAGCAGCTCTGAATAGCCTACAATCCAACACTATAAGGGTTACAGTCGCATTTTCTTGCATTGCTTCTCATTCTGATCTTTTGTTACTCTTACTTCTTTTCTTTTACAGATCTACGTACTCCTCAGTATTTCCTCTTGCTGCAAGCATGGATGATCTTTCCAGCAGTTTAACGCAATTCGTTCTCGCTCATTCAAAAGATCACACAGTTGTGGATTCTGCTTCCAGTTTTGCCAGTCCCCATGCATTCTCTTTCCGAGCTCGTGAAGCTCTGCTGAGTGTCCTCAATCCATTCACCCAGCGACTGGCCGGTTTCACAATGGAACACATTCATAAACATTGTGATATGCATATGGCCGTAGCTGTACGCAGTCTGTGCCGTGGTGGTGTCAGATTAGCTATCAACGCTCACCGAAATCGCCTACTCCATGCACAAATGGTAGCAAGTGGTTTGATGCAACGTATTGAGGGTCAACTAAATACGATCAACTCACAATTGATGTCCATGGCCACCAGACTATATGCCTCTCGAATTCACTTTGATCGCCTCTCGTCTCTAATGAAGGTGTATTCGGATTTGTGGGTGACAATCCGATCGTATCAATTAGCCATACAGACCACACAACGATTCCTGTCCTCTGGGACGTTATCGTGATTTCACCGTAACACCTAATCAGCCTGCCTTCTCCCGTCTCTTGTGTCAAACTAGAAAAGAACATGTGATTCTTCTCATTTTTTAAAACAAAAGTCTTGTGTGATTTTCGGCTTTGGTTTGTTTTGGCTTAGTGGGAAATATAGCCATTCTTGATCTCTGTGCTACCCACATTTCCAGTTCTGTGTATGTTTACCTGCCTACATGTCATCAGCTCCTCATTTTTATCCTTGTCCAGGTGCGAGGATCATTCGAATATCTCAATTTATTTGCTCTGAAAATCATCACTATGTATGTCTTATTCCTTTTTTGGAAATTCTCTGCAGTTCTAGTAAAACTTCGCGGTTTTCTCAGTATTGCTTGTTTGATAGCTCGAAATTTAACGACTGCCTCGCTCCATCGTATTTAACCTCAATCAACATTTGTGGTAGCTGATGATGTCTCTTCTCTGGTTGCTCTCTAGAGTTATGTAACACAGAATTGGCTGTTGGGCTCTGATCGTTGGCGTGCCGGAATGAACGAAGTAGACCATTTATTGTCCATGTGTGCGACCGTAGAAACGTAAATCGTCCTCAACAAACTCTTGAAATCCAAAAGGGCCACGGTCGTGCGAAAGGATGCCAAAAATCTTGTTGAACCTCGAGGCAACCAATGTGCGTTTCCTGTGACCTGATCTCTAGAAGTAAAAGATTGTTGGAGAAAACTGTTGTAGCATCCTAACGTTCAAAATTGCTATATCAATCGTTGAGAATACAAAACCAATATCGAGATACGACATCTCGTGATATAAGTCGTAATAGATATTGTTCATGTTATAGGTTTGTGTGGATCGTGTTTTGCTCAGTCCCGCAGACGGGTAGGCAAAACAATCCTTCGACCTGAACGTGCCACTGATGTCTTGTCCTGGTTCGATGAGGTGCGTGTACACTGCCAATTTGAACGTGAGACAGTTGCCTCATTCGAAATTGTAGCGGGTACTAACATTTGCGAGCTGGATTGAGGTAGGTGCCTCAATCATCGGCCGTGCAGGAATAACATCGAGTCTCGAACTGGCGTGCACAGTGCTATCGTCGACATGTGCTGCCTTGAGGCATTCGATGTTAATCGTATCGACGCGACCATGTCGATCAACCTTGAAGAAATTTTCGTGACGCGAAATAACTGGAAAAGGTCCTTCGTAAGGGTGTAGTAACGATTTACGCATCAATTTGAATATATACGCGCGAACAGGTTAAGAGTTCAGTGGGAATGAACACCTTCCGTTGTAGTTTCCGAGTTAGTGCCGGAGACAAGGATTGCATAAACGTTGCGCGTAGTCCTGTATCCCAATGGAATCCATGTTCTGTGGCGCGAAAATTTTTCTAGGGAGTCGTAATGTAGTGCCGAAAACGAGTTCAGCACCCGTACATTGGATATCTGTCTTTTAGGCATGTTCTGACTCCCAACAGAACAAGAGGTAACGTCTCGTACCAATTAAGGTTCTCGTGTGCCCCAAAGGCACCCTTAAGTTGACGGTTGAAACGTTCGACTGGACCGTTAGATGCTGGGTGGTAAGCAGTTTTGGATGTGTTCCGTACCCATCAGTCGTGTTAACGAAGAGAATAAATCCGCATGGAATTGTGTTCCCCTGTCATTGGTGACAATAGAGGCACAACCGTAGAGTGCTATGCATCGTTCTACGAAATGTCGAGCCCCTGCTTCGGCCGTGACAGTAGAGATGGGAATAGCCTCAGGCCATCTAGTGAACCTGTCAATACACTTGAGTAAATCGACATGCCCGCATGAAGATGGTAATGGGCCTAAAAT